CATGGGACAGGAAAGGAAGACAATATCAGGGATGGGACAGGCTCCCTGCACAAGCAGCTTCTACCTTTTCGCCTAAGCCCCACAAGGGCGTCCGGCCCTCCCAAGGGGACCCCAGACCCAGCACACCCCTGCACCACAGCTGCAGGGGAGGACAGCAGATCAGGTTCTCCAGAGGAAGCTGCAAAATGAGAGGCGGGCATTCTGGCTGGAGTCATTCTGCCGTACTGAGATGTGGGTGGGGAGGGTCTGAGATCCCAAGAACAGTGACGGTGGGCCAACAGGTGGTGGCCCTCGCAGGGGTGAGCAGCTCCACATGCCTCGGCCTGGAGCAGGCTTGGAAACACTCAGCAGGGGCGACAGCAACACCAGCGTCCAGGACAGGCTGGGGCGGCTGCCTGCTTGGGACGGAGTCTCTGGCGGGTCTGGGAATGCCCGGAACTAGACGGGCTGGTGGTTCCACACAACACTGCTGTGTAACAAATGCCCCTCAATCGCATGACTGAACATGAATGTTTCCACCACCCAAATTGTATCTCAGTTTTTAAAGTCAGAGAGCAGGAGAGAGTGTGGCAGGGCTGGGCTAGGAATGGGCTGGGAAGGGACTCAGGCCCTAGCAAGAAGCACCAGGGCAAGAGAGGAGAGCTGGGCCCACCAAACCCACTCAAGTTGCCCCAAACTGTGTGCCTCTGCCCCAAGACCTGGAGGTGGACGTCCAAAGTGGACATTGTATCACGCTGCGCCTGCCTCTCCCGGCTTCCAAGCTGCCTGCAGTCCTTGGCCCACGGCCACACACCTCAACCACCGCATCCTTCACACATCGCCTCTGCCTGAGTCGCAAAGGCAATCCTACGGCCAAAGTCCACCCCAAAAGCCTGTCCCCTGCCTCACCGGCAGAATTCTGGAGTGAGGAGGTGAGGTCGTCGCTCAGCCCACCCTGCGGCACGCTGCCCAGAGCCCAGGAGCACAGCAGCCTCCCAAGCTGGGCTTCTCGGTCTGCAGAAGAAGCGCTGAGGACACACGTGGCTGGCAGACACGGCCTTCATGTCCTGACCACCAGAGCCAGGGACAGTGGCTTTAGCCAATCCTGCCCCCCCAACATTCAGAGCCATGCAGACCCCCAGTCCAGATACCCCCAATCTGCAGGGGGCTCCGGCTGCCAGGGCCTTCCACACACCTGGGGTGCCTCATACCCCTCCACCCCAGCCCACATCTATCCCCCTGCCAGCACCAGAGGAGACCCGATAAAGTCTCCAGTTCATCAGCCTCTGAGAAGCATAATCAGGGCTTCAGCCAGGGAGCCCCCAGGGCTGTGCGCTCGGTGTGTGGGTTTTCAAAAAGGCAAGTGCTAGGCTAGAACAAACCTTTAGCTAATTAGTAACAGTCAGAAACTTGCTCTCCCAGTGCTGAGGACTGAACCCAGGGGCTGTGCCACTGAGCTATCCCAGCCCCTTTCCACGTTTCACTTGGAGACAAGGCCTCGCTGACTGCAGTTCTCCTGCCTCAGCCTCGCTCAGCGCTGGGATTCCAGCCGTGCACCCCCGTGTCTGGCTCAGAAACCATTTCCATGAGAGTCCCAGCCAAGGTCTCCTGAGAGCTGCAGGCAGGAGCCCCCAGAATGCCCCAGCCCAGTGGGAACCTCAGCCCACAAAGAGCAAGTGTGAACACTCAGACTTGGGTGCCCCGCGGGCCCCTCAACAGGGCACCTGGACTGCTGGAGACCCCAGCCCAGGGGCTGCAGACCTCAGCCAAATTCCCCAGAGACCAGGCTTCAGCCTGGGAGAAGAGGGAGCAGCCGTGGTCAGGAGAAGGCAGGGTGGGTGAAGAAGACCACAGCCTTCGCCTTTGCCCCCAGCTCCCGTGGCCCCTGCGCAGCTCTGAAGAGATGCCCACCCTGAAGGACCTGGCTGACCTGCACCCTGGTGGGCAAGCAGCTCAGTGGGGCCCTGAGGGTGGAGGACAGGGGACGACTGTGGGCACAACCTGCGCATGGCTAGGCCTTCCAGGCTGGCAAGCCTCCCTGCCTGCCCCCCCTACTCAGTAAGCCCCTGCCCGATCCCACTCCACGTGAGGATGGCAACCATGATCCTGTGGCTGCTGTGGGCCGAGCCCAGGAGTGTCACAGAGTCAAATGAACATGGCCTCTGGAATCCCAAAGCCATCACGGTCACAGAAACAAACTGCTGAACCCTTGCAGGCCAGAGCTGAGCTAAAGGGTCCAGGTGATGTCCCCTGAAGCCCAGAGGCCATGTTCCTCCCCAGCTTGAGAGGACACTCAAGACAGGGCCACGGCTGACCAGGACACAGGGCACAGACCTCGGGCTCACCAGCCTCGTCTGGGCTGTTCACTCGAATGCCAGGAGGAAGCAGTGTCCTCCTGTCCACACGGCAGCCTTGGGTCAGGGCAGTGGCTGCCCCCTGCCCATCCATGGTGGGTGGCTTCGCAAGCACCTGCAGGAAGGAAGGGCTGGGCCAAGGGCATGCACCCTCTCGCCCCTGTCCCCGAGGGGGGTCCCCACTACACAGACAGAGGACAGACGCAGGGCCAGCTCTTGACATGTTCTCGGCCACCTCAAAACCACCCCTGGGTCCCACCCTGGTCTGCCTCCCGGGAAGGCTGTTCGGTCCCAGGACCATGTCCAGCACCAGGCTGGCACTGGGATACAACTGTCTGCCATCAGCCTAGCCACGAGGCCACACCTGAGTCTGGGGAGAACATGCAAGAGGTGGAAGAGAGAGCGTGGCTTGGTCTGCGTATGGGAAAGGCAGAGGCTGAGTCCATGAGAGCCACGCTGGTGCTGCCGCCGCCACGTACAGTGCATCTAGGCACGTGGGCAGGAATGGGTGGAAGCACAGGGCAGCGCTGGGCAGCACCACAGGCCAGGGCCAGGAAGAGCAGTCAGCCACCTCCAGAGACAAAGCCAGGGGCGGCCACACACCAGAGACCCGCTCGTCCTCTGAACGTCTCTTCTTCCTGCTACAGGGGATCGAGCCCATAGCTTAGCATTGAGCAACATCTGTGGGCCTCTAACTCACTTGCATTTTAAATTTTAAGATAGGGTCTCCCCAAGTCGCCCCGCTAGGCTTGAACTTATGATCGTCCTGCCTCAGCCTCTGAGTTCAGAGGTGACAGGCCTGTGTCACCGTGCCCGGCTCTTTTTTTTTTTTAATTTT